AGTGGGAGAAAGAACAAAAATAGAAGTAGCATCCAACAGTTATATAATACTGACTGTGTGCCAGGTATTGTTCTAAGCATATAACATTAACAATTAATCCTAATAACACAGTGATGTAAGCATCTGTTTCTTTACCTATAAAATGGGCTAAAGAAGTTACAGCAAAGTTAAGTGATACACCTTGAACTAGAGAGAAGCAAAGCTAAGATTCAAACCCAGATTGGCTACAGCATCTGTGCTCTCAACTACTTTGTGCTCTTATACAAAATAACATGATAAATATGCATAGGAGGGGTACATTGCTTAAAGAGGAGAGCCTTTGCTCAAATGAAAATTAGTTTAAAAAATGTTTCATATGGCCCTCCCTGGTGGCGCACCAGGTTAAAGCACTGCACTGAGAAGCTAAAGCCACTTCCGCATGAGTTCGATCCCCGCCTGCCCCAGAGGTGACCACATGGCGTGGCAGACCTCTCCTGACCCGCTCGCTGCTCCCCTCAGCAGTGTACTTCAACGATCTGCCTGTTCTGCTCCCCACTCTGTCCCTGGTGAATCCTCTCACCCTCCGCATCTCTAGCCTGTACCCCAGTTCTGTATGAATAAATAAGTACATTTTTTTAAAAAAATGTTTCATATAATGTTCATGGAGTTTTAAACATTATTTTGAGTCTACAAATCAATTTGAGGAAAATTCACAACTTTGTAACAGTCTCAATAGTTATGAACAGCATTAACTATATTTCTATTTCTCTCAAAAATCATACACTCGTAAGAATTATCCTTGGGTGCTTTTAAAGTTTTTATTTTAAAGGCATTTCCTAACTTTGTTGCTAGTAGCTAGAAATACAATTAATAGATGTTTTTGAGGAGTTATAAGATGTTTAACTGATGTGCAGATTTGTTTTACATGCATAGTTGCAATCTGCAAATGAGCTGGTTCTTTCTTTTAATTTTTATTGTTTATATTTTTGTCTGATTATGCTCCATAGGAGCTTTGGTGCAATGTAGGTGGTACCCTTGTGTTGTCTGTGACTTTAAAACAAGAGCTTATAAATATTTCACCACTAAATAAGTTTGTTTTGTGTTCCTATCCTTCATTATTTGAATAAATTCCTTTATTCTTACATTGACAACTGTGAATGTTATCAACTGTGTCCTTCAACTCCCAAATTCATATGTTTAGGCCCATTCCCACAGAAAGTGAATATTTAAGGAAGTAGGACTTTTAAAGAGGTAATTACATTCAAAAGAGTCTGTTACTGGGTCCTAATTAGCATCCCTTGAAGAGAGACTCAGACACACTGCTATGTACAGGAGCAGAAGAAAAGCCCATGAGAGGACAACTGGAAGGCAGCCATCTGCAGGCCAAGGAGAGAGGCATCAGAGGAAACCAACTTTGAAAGTTTAAGGTTAGACATTTTTTGTTCCAGGAACATGTGGCAGATCTTGACAGTAAACCTATCTGGCCTAGTGCTTCTGTTGGGTTTTAAAATAATTTTTTCTTTAATGGTCATATTTTTTCGTACATTATTCTGGGAATGTGTGGTCTTTGGTCTAGAAATGCATAATCTTAAAACTGCAGAATATTTGCTAGAATTGTTTGATAGTTTCTTCTCACCATATCTGTTTTTTTTTTTTTTTTTTTGTCTTGTAACATCTAATTGGGTATTAGACCTCTAAGTTGATAGGCTGATTTTCTTTGTTCAACTACTTCACATTTAATTTTTGGGGTGATTTCCCTATCTTTTTTCCAATTGTACTGAATTTAGCCTTGGCCTTTGTTATACCTGGTATCCTTGAAGTCAAGTCATCACCATTTTATCCTTTAGAGTCAACTTTGAGTCTGGCTTTCTGTCATGGGGCCATTGCAGTTCTCACTGGTTTTTGGAGAAAACAGATCAGAGTTTGGTAGCCTCCTTAGAAGGGCTCCCAGCTGTTCTGTGTTCCTAAAGTGCAGAGGACTAAGTTCCTCTTCTCCCTGAAGTGAAGGAAGTTTAGCAGGTTTTAGCTTGCTTCTTGCTGGTTTTCCCAGCACTTAGAATTTGGACTTTCTCCACAAAAACTTCTGCTTCAGCTTTCTCTCTTCTGCTGGGTTAAATGGCACTTTTTTTTTTTTTTTAATATATATACATTGTTTTCCAGAGTGACTGATTGCTCTCTCTTGTTGTGTCTTTGTGAGGGAGTTTCAGAACCTGCATTTGCTAGACTAGGTTGTCACAGATGGCATCTCTGGGCTATGTTAAGCAATACTGTGCAGTAAAACTTTCTGAGCTCCTAGAATATGGTTAGTACATGGAAGAGCTGTGTTTTAAGATGTATTTAATTTAACTCAAATCTAAATAATGACATTTGGGTACTGGCTATTGGACATTGAAGCTATTGGGCAATGGAAGATTTGCACTTTAGCATTTAACATTAAATGCACATTCTCTTTCACTCCTACTGCCAGCAAAGGACTACTAGTTACTGGAAGTAGTGAGCCAAGTGTCCAACAGCCTCTACAGAATTCAGTGTCTGAATACCTCCACTTCTGAAAAAGCAGTGCTCACGGTTTGAGATATTCTAATGTAAGATACCATCACTCCGTAATTAAGGAATAATATGAAGGCAAGAATGAGACAAACATTCTCTACTTTGTAGTTGGGGGTAGGGGAAAAAAACCTGCAAGCTTGTACAGAATGAATAGTAAAAGCACTCATACCCTTTGTACCAGTAATTCCACTTCTAGAAATTATTCTTAGCATAATGATGTGGACAATTTTTAAGTAAACATTTACTGCAATATTTATAATAGTATTATCTAGTAGAGGATTTGTTAACATAGTATGCTTCCACAATAATGTTTTATATAAATATTGCAAATTTATGCAGTTTCATTATAAAGTGAACTTTATATATTGGGTGCACATGACACAAAACTAGTTAGGCCATATTCTTTCTTGAGTTACATACCATATATATAAAGCAATGAACAGTAAAACAAAGTGGTAGAGGGAAACAGTGACTAATATGTTGTTTTTTCTGCATGGTAGAATAGGGAGGCCAAGTTGAAAAAATGCATTTGCTTTTGTTTCCCGCAAGTAACACTTCAACAAAAACACTCCCTCCAAATATGGCTAGCCAGAAATCTTTATGGAATTGTAAAGTATGTCTAAAGAATTTCTCCTTGCTTTTGACGAGCAACAGTGATGGCCTCTTTCCTCAAAACCTGTGTTGTAATGCTATGACCTCATGAGTTTATACATGTTTTCTTCTGTATTTGGAAGAGGGTCATTGTTTTTATAAGAGAGCAAGGCAGGGCTGCATTAATGAGATCATGTTTTATTCAAAATTTTAGCTTGTTATTTGGCAGGTAGTAGATAGGTGGAATGAAAACATTTTAACCTTTGTATATTCTCCTTTTGAAAGCAAGAATTTGGGTGATTACTATTTTGCTACCAATTCTTATCATCTAAAACTGCAAGACTACATGGCAGATACTGTATTATCTGTTCATACCAACATAATCAAGTTGGCTTCTTTAGTGCGAGTGTAGTGTGATGGAATATCCCAGAATGTTAACACCTTATTAAAAAAATGTGGTATGTATGGAGTTCTGAAGGTTTAATTTTTTTTACAAGGACTCTTTTACAAAAGGCTATAATGCTTTTTACAATATTAGACTGAGCACAAGGTTTCCCTTGGTGCTGATCTTAATGAATGTAAAAATGGGGTGGAATCATATACATACTATGGTATAGCCTTTGGAAAATTTCCTTGAAAATATTATTAGCGCCCATTTATTTATTCTTACCGGTAGCATGAACCATATTTAACTAATGAACTGTTTGGATTTTTTTTTAAAGTTTACTTATTTATGCATACAGAGCTGGGGTACATGCCAGAGGTGCAGGGCAGTGAGAGGACTCACCAGAGACAAGAGTAGTGAGCAGAACAGGCAGATTGACGAAGTACTGCTGAGAGGAACAGTGGGTGAAACAGGAGAGGTCTGCTGTGCCATGTGAGTCACCTCCCTGTTTGGGGATTGAACTCATGCTAAAGTGCCTGTGGCCTGGTAGCTTCGTGGTGCTGTACTTTAACACACTGCTCCACCAGGGAGGGCCCTTAGGATCCTTTTACCTAAGATTAGCTCTTAAGGGAAATGTAGATGTCAACTGCTCCTGAGTTATCTTTTCTTGCACAGAAACTGACAGGTTTCTCAAGAGTTGACTTGGCAGTAGTCAAGATATTATTATTATTATTTTAAATTTATTTACTTATTCATACAGAACTGGGGTACAGGCCAGAGATGCGGAGGGTGAGAGGATTCACCAGAGACAGAGTGGGGAGTAGAACAGGCAGATCGACGAAGTACACTGCTGAGGGGAGCAGTGGGCGGGTCAGGAGAGGTCTGCCACGCCATGTGGTCACCTCCGGGGCAGGCGGGGATCGAACTCATGCGGAAGTGGCTTTGACTTCTTAGTGCTGTGCCTTAACCCGCTGCGCCACCAGGGAGGGCCCAGTAGTCAAGATATTATTTATAATTTAACCAAGACAAGGTACCAATAGGTGTCCCTTCACTAACTCAAGACTTCTGTAACTTAAAACATGCTTATTATGGGATCAAGGAACTTAAATGTCTCCTTATCTATTTGAGTGACTTTTTGCTAGCAAGTTTGAGAGGTCTAATTCTGTAATTAGTTTCAATAAATTGAGCTGTGGGTTTATGGAAGTTCATCATTTCCCACAAAGCTCCTCCAGACCTACAAGTGTTTGACTTAAGAGGATACTAATAACAATTAATGGAATCTAGTGACTTGATGCAGCTGAGTGTAGATAGCTCTGCATAGGCAAACACTCACTGAAATCTCTTCAGAAGTATAACTTCTTATTTACACACACCCTTACCTTGAAATTGGACCCTTGAATTCAGGTTCAGTACTAAGTATATATGTTTACAGTCCTTTAAAATTCCCTCTAGTCCTTAACCTGTGGGAGGGGGTGGTACTTACCTCAAGATGTGCCTGGCATTTATGTTATCATTCCTGGCCTGAATTTTAAAAAAAAGAAAAAGAAGAAGACTTCTCATTTTTCAATTGGGAGAACAGGTTAAGAAAGATGAGGTAGGATACCCCAAATCCCATTGCTCACCAAGCTTACTTCTAAAGACCTGCACCTACTTCTTGGTTAGCTGCCTATTTAGGATGAATTCTACTGTTACCTGTTTGCATTGTTTAGGTAGCTTCGTGTAGCTTCGTTGTGGGTAAACTGTGTGTGGATACTTGTTCCTGAGGATACAAAAAAGGGAGTTGTCATTTAGGGAGAAAATAAAAATCCAACCCCTAAAATAAATTTCATACAATCAAATCACTTTTAGAAACATTCAGTTGAGGGTTTCACTCTTCAAACGTTTATTGTATGGAAGCACTAATTATTAATACTAGTAAGAGCAATCCCTCACTTTCCTTAACCTGGGGTGTGGGGTGTGGGACAGTACTTAAGTCAAGGCGTGCCTGGCATTTGTGATGTCATTCTTGGCCTGAATTTAAAAAAAAAAAAAAGAAAAGAAAAGAAAAGCTTTGCCTGTTCTTACCCAGATTCTAGTCAGATTCAGGACCCTCCCCCTTTAATTCAATGGTGAAATCCATTGTCTATTTCCTAGCTATCTACCTGGCAATGTACACATTTCAAATGCAACTACTTATATTTTTACCCTAGAATGACATCAGCTAACAAATACTGGATCACTTGGAGCTTTTCAGAGAGCTACTTCTATTGCTCATTTTCTTTAGGGATGATGTTTAGTGTAATTGAACTCAAAGCATGCAAAAGACCGAATTGCCTTTAATATTTGAGGTCTGCAAAGGACCGAATTGCCTCTAGTGTTTGAGGTCTACAACTATGTCCCAAACTTTGCATGTGGCGGAGAGCAAATTATCTGGGAACAAGCAAGAGTTGTGAAAAGGGGCATACTCTTGGGTTTCTCTACCATTCAGAGCTCCTGAGTACTCCGCTTGACACAAAAGGGTGGAGCTGTCAGCCTTTTTTTCGTTTAGTTTTAGCGGAGGGACAGCCAGTCCTCTCCCGCCCCCGAAAGCCAAGGCTTGTCCTATTCAGAGTGGCCTCTCCCACACACTTCAAACGTCCCGGTGAGCCTTCAGCAGGCCGCAGAGACTTCAGGAACTCGCTCCTGGGAGAGACGTGAAGTGCGGGTGGTTGCCACGCCTCCCACGTTTCAGCGTTAGCTTACCTACTGGGGGTCGGGGTGTGGAAAGGGACCGCACGGCTCTCAGGTACTGCAGCACCGAGTTCTACCCCTCTGACCTCAACAAGGAAGGCAAGAGAAGCCCTGAGAACTCCGCGGCTGTGCACCACCCGATTTTCCGCTTTCCAGGGCGCGCTCTTCCGCCTGCTCAGGCTTCCCCCCACCCCTCCGCCTCCCTCACAGGAACCAGCCCAGTCGGCGCTCCCGCGCTTCTCTCCTACCACCCGCAGAGGCCTGCCTTTTATAAGCGCTGCAGCCAATGGGCGCTCAGTTTTCCTTGAGCCCTCCCTCCCGGCCAATCGCCGCGCCCCTTGTGTAATCTTCGGCTCCTCGGCTGCTCTCGGCTATTTTCGTTGTTGCTGGCTTTTTCTGGGGCTGCTCGTTTGCAGCCAGAGACGCTGCTTTTTTTTCCGGGTTCGGAGCCGTTCCGGATGCTTTAGGCTGCCGGATGTCTGATCTCCGGATAACTGAGGCGTTTCTGTACATGGATTATTTGGTAGGTGCCGGGCTGGGGTGGCGTGTTGCGTCTTGGACCTCGACGTGCCCGATGTCCCTCCGCCTGGAGGAACAGCCTTTTTGCTTTCTTTCTTTGGGATGGGATGCCTTCAGGGTTCTTTCTCCGCCAGCTCTAGAGCTGTGCTGGGACCCGGACGGGCGGCGGGGCGGCAGCCCAGAGCGGGTCAGGGAGCTGACAGGTAAAGGTGCGACCCTGGCCAGCGGTGCTGCGAGGTGAGGGGCGCACTGGGGCTGCCCGAGATGGGGCCGCGGCGGTGGAGCGTCCTCTGCCCGCGCTCGGGTTCTTTGCTCCCCTTTGCGCTCCCTGCAGAGGACTTTCTTTCCGCTCTCCCTTTAGCAGAACTCCAGGTACTATTAAAGAGCCATAACCAGAATGGCTTACTAAGTGCCCGGCAGCCCCGGTCATTTGGTTGTTATTAGATCTCTAAAGCTATGACCTCGGTCGCGGCGAGGGTTTAAAAGCACATTACCATAAAGTAGACCAGACTTAACTACATCGCAGCCTGGCCAGAACTGGTCTGGGTAAGGGCAGGCATTGCCCCACCGTTCCTGTCGTGGGTGCATGCTGCTTTTTACCCTGGCACGGATTGGATCCCAGCTGTGCTTTTAGGCCAGTCTTTTGCTGAGAAGTTTAGGTGGGAAAAGTGTTAACACAATGTTGGACTGAACATGATTTTTAAAATTGACACGTGTGTGTGTTTGGGGAAATCTGCAAGCTTATATACCCGTTCCAGAAATTATACTTGCCCAGAGTTGTGTGTTTGTATGGGGGTGGGGGGTGCTTATTTACTTTGGCTGTGTTGAGTCCATACAATTGCTAATAGGCTTACGGTGTTAGTTGGAATTGCTGTTGCCCTGCAGTTGAAGTAGCTGGCTATAAACATTGACCCTCCTGTCATCTCACTAGATACATGCTGTCGGTTTTTGAGTGCAGATTGGCCTAGCAGAAATTTGCCAATGCCTTCTAGGAATTACACTGAGAGAAACTGAATGTTTTTATGAGCGCTGGACACAGGACTGGTTTTGTAATGTTATCTTGTATTTGGGGTGAATTTAGTGGGAGGAAATACTCCCCAGAAGCTTCATGGGTAGGTGATCTTGTGATTGCAGTTAATGCATGACCTTGTGAATAAAGCATAGTCAAAAATTCTCAGTTCAAATTTTGTTTTGTTGTTCATTTGTTATGTCAGTAGCTTCCTGTATCTTTGTGATAAAAGTGCCATGTAGGTTAAGAGAATTGCAAATTGCTAAGGACTGTTTTCTAAATTGAATAACTGATTAAATTGTAATTTGTCTTATATAGTAATATGGTTTTGTCTTGCAGTCTATCCAAATTAAAGCCAAAGTTGTTGAGAATAATTAACAACAAAAAGTTTAGATTATCTGTCTATGGTATAGAAAGCTAATTTTGGATATTTAATTAAGTAGTTCCTAAAAAGGAAGTCAGGTGGTTCTGATCATTTTATTATTTTATTTTACTGGGTATGCTTTAAATTTACAAGTTGCGTTAAAAAACTTTCATTTTTTTTGAGGTGCCAATCCACCAAAGCATGGGGGGGCGGTGAGGGGAGCTTGACAACTCTGGTTAGTAACTCAGGTTAATTTCTAGATAGTCTAAAGGTGGGCAGATAAATGTTTTCAGGCTGTAGATTACCCTAAAAGCAGATTGATTTCTTTTTCAATTCATAGGTTTGTGTCCTGAAAAACTGGGCCTCAAATTTGACATGACTTTTTTGTTTTACCTCCCATGGCCCCCATGACCTACTTTTTGCGTTTTTATAAGAACTGTCATTTTCTTGGTTCTATTATGCCTTTAAAAATCCACAGGTGCAATGAATTAGTCTCATAGAAATAATTGGCTAGTTATTGGGGGTGAGAAAAAAAATCTTTATGAAAATGTTTTAGAAAATCCTTCATTTTAAAGTCCAGTTTTTATTGAAATTGGACTTAAAAATAAAAATAAAAACTCCTGAGGTGGTATTTTGCGTTTACTTTTTTGCTTAGCAACTTTCAGATGAAAATGATATGTCTGCCACGCATCGTTCCTTCCTTCATGCCATGCAGATACATTTGTTTGCTTATCCATAATTACCTTTGTAAGGTGTTTTTTAAAAAACAGTTCCTGAAAAATGAAAATACGTTTTGTTGATGGTGTTGGAACTTTATTTTTCAAACACATAGGTTCCCAAGGTTTTTAATTTACCTTGGGTCAGGGGGTGGTGCTCGTCTCATTTTGAGTTTCAGAATGAACAAAAAACCTTGCTGTTCAGGTTTTGCTGTTAGAGGACTAGAACAGTGTCCTTCCTTCCATGAACTTGGCAGCAGTAACTGTACAGGCCATCTTTTCTTTTTTTTTTTTTTTAAATCAGTGTTTGACTTTCTTATTGTTGCTGTTGGAAGCTGGAAGAGGGAGCTGTGTGTGTGTGTGTGTGTGTGTGTGTTGTCTATTGTTCTTCTGACTGGTTGTCATCACTTAACCTTTAATTTGTAGGGAAGTAGGAAGAGAAATGAAAGACAGAGGTTCTATTTTTAACAGTTTTTAATAATAATATGACATTAAAACAGATGAAGAAGCTTTCTAATTGTGTAAGTTGCTTTTAATTTCTTAAATTGAAATTTGTATCTTAAAAGTAATGTTCGCAGTTAGAGGTGACAAATAAGGTGAGGGTCAGGGACAGTACCTTAGTATTTAAGTCAGGGTTTTTTAAAACTTGATTTTAATTCAGCAAAAACAATGGTAATTTGCTAGTCTTAAAAATTACTTGTATCATTCTAATAAAGAAAAAATGAACAACTATATACCAATGACATTTTATGGGGGTGGAGTGGGGAATGGGATCAAAAATGGTGTGGGAAAGGTACCCGAGACTATGGTGATGGCACACCAGTAAATTGGTGGGAAGTCCACGGGATTACAGCCGAGATGGAAAAAAGCACAAAGTGAAGTATGATGTAAAAATAAATTAATAAAAAAATTACTTGTATCACCCAGTGCCTGATTCATTTCCTGATATATAGTGGAGCCCAATTTTTTTCTTATTAAATTAAATGAATGTGAAATAGACAGGACAATTCAATTTTTCTCACCTGCTTGATTTATATGACGAGATAAAATCTGCTTGGATTAGGTGTTTTGCTCTGAGGAATGTAAAATGTACCCCCCCCTTTTTTTTTAACTTTTATAATTATCAAGGTATAATTTAATTTGCCTGTCTGGCAATTTAAATATGAAGATTTCAGTTGAAAAGGGAATCTTCCTACCAGGCCCCATGCCTTTGCCCCATTTTAATTTATTTTAATGGAGCAGTAAAGGCCATGTTTCACCTGTCTGGTCTATGATAAAGATTTCGTTACTGGTTTTGACAGGCAGTACCAGCATCTTATTCTTTCTTCTGACAGGTAAAACTAGTAAGACAGTGTGCAGAGCTTTGTCATGTGTAATAGTCACCTATAATGAAATGAAAAACATGTCTACCAGGTTTTCAGGGGAGGCTGGACAAGATCAACTGCTAACATTTATTTCAGTTTCAGATTTTCTATTTGATTTTGTTAGTATATGTTGGTTGGTCTAGATTTCACCTTGTTTCCCCTTCTGCCATCAAAACAAAGCAATAAAATGTGTTTGCTCTATGTAATACCTATGATGATTAAATGAGAAAATGGAGGGAAAGTGATTTACAAACAGAACATTGCTTTTCAGATGTAAAACTTTAATATATTGTAACCGTGTGATTGATAGTATTGTAACTCCTGTGGCTGTTACTGCTCAGTGGTAAATAAGGTGCATAAGGCTGTTAGGGGAGGAGGCCCAGAGGTACCTTAACTTTCTAGCATTTTTCTCTCTTATATATGTTTTTTTGTTGGAACTAAATAGCAAAGTTAGACTAGAAAATTGGACAAGTAAAATTGCTTGATTAGTCTTAAATATTTACGGTCATCGTATTTTTATATTGTGCCAGGATTCTAGATTTCTTCCTTTGCATGGATTGGCAAACCTGGGTTAGTTTCTTGACCATAGGCTATACCTGCCTTAATGAAAACTTGTCATCAGGGAAGATCAGGTGCGAGGAGGCCGAAAAACTATCACTATTGGTTTTGCCTCATAAAGACCAGCCCACCCACCCACCCACCAACCTGCCAAGAACATAAACTCATGATGTACTCCATAGTATTAGTAAACTGTAAATGAACCCACTGGAAAACAGGAGTGAAGGCACATTTATGATCTTCTCTGATGTTATCTTAAAAGGATGCTATTTAATCCTCAGTGACTATGAACATTGTAAGCTTTATGGTCCTACTACAGTCAAACTGACTATAAAGTATTAATACAGGTCAAACAGTTTTTAGCTTTAAATGCAGTTGGGTTAGTCAGAGTCACATGAATATTCTTTTATTAGTAAATCACAAGATAAAACTAATGTGGATACAATAAACAGATCTACTGCCACCCATGGAATTCTCAAAGCTAACAAGTCCTGAGAACATGCACACCATTACTAGCTTTGTGTCCTGGTAGTGTGAGTCCTAGACCAGGGAATGATTCATGCTTTCTAGGAGTTTGCATTCAAATTGATGATGCCTAAGCCTTGAGCTTGTTGGTAGCTTGGGGGTGGGGAAGTGGTTGAGCATAAGAGTTACAAGGGTGATATCAATTAACAATTATTGAGACCTTTTTGTGTGCCAGGCAATGTCATAAGTACTTTCCACTTGTAATGGCAGTCAATCTAGTTTATGTAACTTCCCCAAATCCATACACCTAACAAGCATTAGTGCTGGGATTATGACTCAGAATCCTCCCACTTCACTGCCTTCCTCTCAGTTTGGTGTTGAAGTTAATGGAATGCAGCTCAAATGTTCACAGTGTATGCCATAGAGCTACACTGCTGCTAAAGCACAAGTGTACAGGAACGTACTTCTTGAACCCCTTCAAGAAACTGGAGGCTGGTCAACTGATGATGTTCTCAGTCCTCAAGTAGT